ATATATATGCTTGCAACCACTGCGACATACACGTGGAATCGATCTCCGCGCCCATGGTCCGCCAAGCCTTCCATCCCTGCAGAGTCGGCAAATTAGTACCAGACTCGTCTGGGAGGATAGCAGCACTGACTCGAAACGTCGGTAGGCCACCGCGAGTCATTGTAAAGGCCAGATATGCATTCAATCACCTCCAACGATAGTTAATAAAGTCGAATGCATGGCGCATCCCTCAGGGATTGATCAACGCCAAGAGCTTTATCCTTTACATTGTATATATACATATATATATATATATCTTGGTTCTACATTTGGTCTTTTCGCATTCGCAAATGGTCTCTAATTTATAGGTAGGCGGTTACCTTTGTGGTAACGCCCACCTATATATAGCTTGCGCTGTCAAGGCTCTATTTTCTTCGAACTTCGAAAAGTTTCCTCTGAAGCCAGGAGTGGATTCGACGGGATGAAGTTGAAACCTGAGCAGTTCATCGACTTCCAACTGTCGTAGATGTAAAAAGGAACCATTCAGTACCTGTTTTAATGTTGAAACCAAGTTCCTAATGAATATTTTCATCACACGGTGGACTTAAAAAGTCGCTTAATTAAATAGATCTGTTAAGGCGTTGCATTAATTTTTGCCCATCAGGCTTGCAAGTTAAGAACTTTGAATTTAAGAAGTTCTTAATCCGATCTAAACCAGTTATTGAGTTAGTTGCAACACGCTTTCCAATTTATTTCCTACATTATCGTTAAGGTTAGAACTTGGTCAAGTGAAAAACCCAGAGGATTTCCTCCAAAGATGAGCTGTTTGTGGCTGCTCTTTGATAAAGGCTTTGTCATGTCCTTAAGAAAATAGCAAATGTAGTTTCTCTTATTTGTATTATTTCTTAGTCGTTGATTAATTAAGCCGAATCAACTCACTCTTACCTAGACTGTTGAGTGGTGACAGGATATTGTTGACTGAGAATCTCGGTAGAGTCGACTTCTCGTTCACTTTCGTTTTTTCTTTCTCCTTCGCCTTCACAAAATCACTGCTGTCGACCGGAGCGATTTTTTCGTCCTCGCCTCTTTTATGCTCCATGTCTTCTCTTTCTTTCATTGCCCTATAAGAAATCGCCTTTTTTGCTAGAGCATCATCAAGTTTAAATTTTGACAAATCACGATCCGTTATGTTACCGAGCGATTTAGAGTGCGTGAAAAACAAGAAGGATGGGTTTTCAGATTTTCGGGGCTTTTAATTCATCATGGACTTTGTAATGAATTTAAGCCCTTTCTACTAACCATAAAACACTTCGTACTATTATTATTGAAAATTGTTATTATTATTATTACTATTCTAACTGCCTTTTATTCGCAGCTAAGACGAATGTCTTCCTGGTGGTTACCTGTTGAGTCAGTTCAAGTCAATCAATTAATTAACCATTAGATCAACTGAGCCACAGGTGATATGTAATTTTTCTTTTTATTACTAGCACTACTATTGGCGGGTGTTCCATAGTGGTCAGAGGCGCCTTGCAACACATACGTGGAATCGGTCGCCGCGCCCATGGCCCAACAAGATTTTCGTCCATCCGTGATGGGCAAATTGCTATCAGACTTGCCTGTGAGGATAAAAGCACTAACCCGATACATTAAAAGGGCACCATGAGTAGTTGTACAGGCCAGATATGCATCCATTCACCTCTAACGATACTTGTTGAAGTCGAATGAATGGCGCATTCCTTAGTGATTAATCAATGCCAAGAGCTTTATCCTTTATTTTCTTTACTAACACTACTTAACTAACTTAACATTACTTAAAATTGAGGAAACCTCAATGTGCCAACGATTCTAGCAGGCTCATTAATCACTTTCTCTTGTGAAGTAGTGGCGCAGACTATTAGATGATAGCTGAACCACCAGTATCCACGCGTGATCTCATTAAACATCGGTTAACTCAAGTGTACTACTTGCCCCGTCGGACACCAAAGTCACTCAGGGACACGAACATTATCACACTTTTGATGCGACGTCCATTTCGTTATTACTTTCAGCTAGAAAACAGAAGAAGCTGGTCAGACCTTGGCGCAGCAACTTCTTTACTTCTTAGATGGGTGTTAGGATGGGAACGTAGAATTCTTTCTCACATTGGAGAACTCTCCTAGCAATAGGAATCCTCACTTGTACATCCCACGTCGACACCAAGGAACGTCGTCACCACGAGGAGTTATTGCACTTTTGCAGGGATTGGCCTAGTGACTTCAATAAGTAGATCATTACTGCCTATTATATCTTTGTTTTTTCAAGTTTTTTCACTCATTCTCATCCTCATAGTATCAACTGTTTTTTGAGCTCTCATCGGACTTTACATAAAGCATCGGAGCAAATCTTGTATATTAAATGTTGCCCGAATAGAAATAGCTGGAAAAAGCTTCAGCAATTTATGCATACCTTTTGAAAGAAAAATCCATGCACCAAATGGAGCAAACTAGTATCACAGCATGTAATGTTGGCTTGAAAGTGTAATTTTTTTTCTTTCCCACACTTTCCTTCTCACAGTACGTTCCTTTCTCTACTTCACTTCACTTACCTGACTCACGAATCTCGACCAAGTTAGTCGTTGAGTTAAAGTACCACTCAACAACATCATGTGAACACTGATATCAGAAATCCCATTTAACGGCGCACCACTGCCGTCAGCCGGCGATGAAGCCCAAATCCAGCCCCACCTCTTATTCGTCGACGACGCCCCTATGGGCGTGGCTTACGAGGACTACGGTGATGTTAATGACGGCGTTTTGTTTTGAGCGATTCTTGATCAGCTGAGCAGTGGTAGGAAGGGAAATGGTCTATATGCTCATATGTGGTTGTTGGATTGGTCAAAAATAAACGGTCAAATTCGTTCTGCATCATTTAGGTAAAGGGGTATGAAAAAGTTATAATAGTAATAGTAAAT